GTGGTGCTTGGGAGAACATATGCAGTCATAGACTCTCGAGGCCTGTGAGGGTTCCAGGTTAACCGTTAGGAGCTCTGCTTAAGCTGCAGGTTCCAGATGAGTGGCAACGGGTGGTCACGAAATTATTTGTCCCAGCAGTTGGATGGTTGGTTTCGCTCACTTGTGGTTCCCGGGGCCTGGTCGCGCGGACCAACTGAAATAATCTTCGGGCACTGCTGGCTTTCTGGGTCTCTTCCATTCCCACCGGTCCATCAAACACGGTCGACACGTACTCTCACTTTCACTTGACTTCTGATAATTCGTCGGGCCAAATTATGTTCGAGACTAGTGGGACATTTCTCCGGGATTCAAGCAGTGCTGTTGTTCAGTCTGATATTCACTGCGTGCCTGGGCCTGATAGTGCCGTACCGCAGGTTAATGTTTCGGCACTGTGCAAAGAGGTGATGATCTCTTTTTCATCTGTGGTGGAGCATTTGGAAGAGATTCCAGAAGACGACCCCAGTAAATTCAACGAACGTACGAATTTGCCAGTTTCTCAGTTGCTAAGCGATTTTGGTGCGTCTTACGTCGCCCTGGAAAATGAAGGGAGAAGCCCGAAAGAGCGGAGCATTTGGAAGAGATTCCAGAAGACGACCCCAGTAAATTCGTCCAACGTACGAATTTGCCAGTTTCTCAGTTGCTAAGCGATTTTGGTGCGTCTTACGTCGCCCTGGAAAATGAAGGGAGAAGCGACCCCGAAAGAGCGCGCGGTCGGAATCCACTAATGTGCTCCAAAACGAGCGGCAGTCAGTTGTTGATCTGAGCCGTCGGCCATTTCAGAACTTAGTGTTACATAAAACAGTCTGCGGTCAGCACATAACTGAAGCAGTCGTTCGCCATTTTCCGCACCTACCCAATCCTATACGTGTCGACCACCTAATTGAGTCTCAGGTGCGCTAAGCCTTGTGGACTCAGGTCTCTGACGACCACAACGATATCTGGGCTTTTAACTCGGTGTAACATAGCATTCAAGGCGTCATAAAACTTGCCTTCAATGGTATCAGAACTGCAATCGATCGAAGCGTAAGCAGACATCACATATAGACAGCAATCAACTTCCCGCTTGTGAGACTCCTTCACGCACATCACCAGACGTACCGCGCAGAGGCGACTATCATCGGGTATCTAGTCAAGCAAGGATCTGGCAATGTTGCGGAATGTAGGCAGCTCGGTGCGCTTCTTGGGTTGGTTTGTCCGCCGAGTTTGGCAGTCGGATTGCCAAGTTCGGTGAATGGACCAACATCCAAACAAGGGTCTTTTCGCTCAGTGACTTAGGACGTTACCAATCCCTGCATATCCTGCCGTAGCGGCCTATGGATTGCCGGACATACACAACTAGAAACGAGTGGAGAGTAATAGGGCAGTTAGCTCAACCACTGTGCTTGCATCTTGAACTCTTGTTTCTGATACACAGCACTCATCAATGTCAAGCGAGCCCAGTGTGAGCAAGAGCAGCTTGTTGATTTGTTTTCTTCACTGTGCGAGCAGCCAGACAGACTGGGCGTCGAGGCTTGAAGACTGATTTCGAGCTGTCTGAGGGTGTCAGCGCCGGGTGACGCGCAGTTGCTGCTGGCAAAACACGGTGCAAAACGAACGGAGCCATCTGTCCCAACAAATGGATCCAGTCGATAATCATACCCATCTTCAAAAGTCTACTTGCAGTGAACGTAGTAAGCACGTGGGTGTGAGTTCGACTCCGTCATAACCCGTACAAAAGATTATGAGTCATATGTACATCTGGCGTTGCTCTAACATGTACAGACTACCCACAATCTTGATATCACTTGACTTCAAGATTGCGTTCGATCCTGTCGATTGGTCAGTGCTGTTAATTACACTTGCTCAACAGGGTATGCCCCAGAAGATGGAATATAATCCAATCCCTATATTCCCATATTTCTGGGCGGGTGAGAATGTATGATGAGCTCTCCAAAAGCTTCCCTACAAAAAGTGATGTCAGACAAGTATGTCCACTCTCTTCATTCTTGTTCACCTTCGCCATTGATGAATTAATGAGGCGAACGCTGGATGACCTTCAAAATCCCGGTGTTCAAATTGTTGCTGGTGTGAGCCTTGTCGATCTGGAGTACGCAGATGACATCACCCTCATCTTTGGAGACCAAAGCGAAGTTTAAGCCCTGTTGAATTTACCGACCACCATCATACCATCTTTTGGCATGCACCTTGCACCTTCAAAGTGCAAAGTCATGCTTCAGAACGTGCGGTCTCCAACGTATCCCCTACAATTCAAGAATAATCACTGGAGGTTGTGGAAAACTTTACATACCTCGGCAGATGTACTTGCTCTGATGGAAATGTATCTGATGAAGTCAGTGCGCGAATCTCAAAGACTCGATCCATGTTTGCTAAGTTGCGTCACTTGTGGCGTCAAAAAGGCATATTACCAGATCTTAAGAGTCACGTGTACCCGGCTACAGTAAGGGCTATTGTGTGGGTGCGAGACATGGTCTTTGCGGACAGATGATGTGAGACGTTTTCAGCGGGCCACTACTGTGGTAACACTCCCCATCTTAAAGTCAAGTATTTTCTCTCCCGCCCCATCACACCAAGGTGAATACTTTCTCCGCAAGCCTCAGTAGTAGAACTGACAACTGTTTTCTCCATGCATCACACTCAACTGCAACTTTTGTGCATCCGACCTCAGCAACAGCCCTAGACACTTCGAAGTCTGTTTTCGAATACGAAGTGTTCCGTTGTTGGTGGAATGAGGTAATGTGACCTCGCCTGTGCTCAGCTGGAGACTGCAAGAAATGGCGGTTAATGGATATCAGTGGCATCCGTTGCGTCAGTTCCTTTTCAAATTGTATGATTGTGCGCTTGGAGGTGTAGGCACCTCAGAATGCTTGACGTAAACCAGCTCTAGGTCCCCTCCCTCACCTAGACTTTTCCTCTTCTTTTCACTCTAGGGATTTAAATATGAGATGAACCTTATGGTTGTACGACAGTGAAGCATCAGTGTCAACATTGATGTTGCGGTCTTTGATGATGATGATGTCATAACAAGACCTCTGGCGTCACTGATTCTTCATAGTCTCCTGGCAGCACGCAAAATGCTCACCCGTGAGCATCAAGCAGGATTTCCACCGGGCGTTTTTCAGTTGTGTATTCTGGGATGAGTTTTCGAGTAAGGTTAGGTTGTCGGCTGCATAGTTGGTTGGGCTCTGAGTCTGGTTTATCTGTAACCTCCCCCCCCCCCCCCGCACAAATGTGAGGTGGCAGCTGCTAAACTTTTAAGGACGATGTCGGTCCAGCCTCCTTCGTAGAGCGTCCAACTTGGGCTAATATCGACAGATGACAGTGCCAGCTGACACAGGGACAAACGTACCTGGGACTGTGGTAAAGTAGGCTTTACAGGACAGAGCCGACACGGATAATTGAAGTTTCTAAATCTCATGCAACCAAAACTGAACGCAGAATTTCTTCCTTCAATCTCATCTAACCTACACAAAGTAACAATTCGCTGCAACTTCTTTCAGTAAAAATCCCTGAGGAATCCGATGCAACTAGAGGTGTTGAAAGTCGTGTGAAACTGTTTTCAGCCAGAGATATGGGTACTGGATGCTTTAGTTGTTAGCAATGATGGTCCGGCGGTGAAATGTGATTATTGTGTTGGTTAGAAACGTCTCGGCTGTACTTACCCACACCGAGGGACGATAAGCATTGCTTGTAGTTAGTGTTCTAGGTGAAATCCGTACAATTCAGCGCGAGCAAGGGAAACCCGATAGAACAACCTCCAGATATTCTACTAGCTCGGCACTCAGTCAGTAACTCGTGCACTTTTGATGAGGAAGGCCACCAGTCACATATGAAGCCTCGGTCTACTAAGTACACTGATACTACAGGGAGATACTTAGTTAGCAGGTTTGGTTACAGCTGCGACAGAAACTATCAATCACATTGGCAAAATATAAACTACAGAGGAACTTTTGATCAGAACTCTGTCGAGTTCGACGGAAGGCGTTACTCTGAAAGCTATGAAGTAAATTATTCCTCGTGTCCCAGATATCTTTTATACAGCTGCTGTAGTGTCTGTCAGGTAGTGATATTATAACTAGGGTCTCGAGCCCACTAGAGGCGTTTTACGCTAGTCCTCATGGGCGAGCGAAGGTCTGTGTAGGCTGTTACCGGAATTCGCCTCATACATTGGTGTCAGCCAATGCTGCCGTCCCTCCGTTTCTCTCTTACCTTTTCTTGATATGATCATAGAAGAATTCTGTTAGCCTCTGACTTCTGTGATTTCGAGATGCTTACAAAGCGTTCACTTATAGACACTGAATGCACAGACGAGTGAACCCTATGACATTTAAACTAAATAGTTCTGTTTTGCGATTTATTGTGCGCTTCACATCTGTTGGAAGACTTGCAAGAACCACTTCCAGGCCTAACGCTTCCAGACGATGCGATCGGTGTGGTTGATCAACTCATTTACCAGAGTAGTTGCTTTCGTCCCAGTATTCTGACCGAATATTAGGTTAGTTTTCGAATAGCAAAGCTCAAGATTTCAAAGTGCAAAGTCATGCTTCAGAACGTGCGGTCTCCAACGTATCCCCTACAATTCAAGAATAATCACTGGAGGTTGTGGAAAACTTTACATACCTCGGCAGATGTACTTGCTCTGATGGAAATGTATCTGATGAAGTCAGTGCGCGAATCTCAAAGACTCGATCCATGTTTGCTAAGTTGCGTCACTTGTGGCGTCAAAAAGGCATATTACCAGATCTTAAGAGTCACGTGTACCCGGCTACAGTAAGGGCTATTGTGTGGGTGCGAGACATGGTCTTTGCGGACAGATGATGTGAGACGTTTTCAGGTGGCTGGTTGTCGATGGCGTCAGCGTCTTAGTAACTAGGTGAATAGAAAACGGGTATTTGGTTGTGTTTTAGGTACTTCCATCCGGGAAAACATCCATCCAACCACGGACTACGGTGGCTCGGTTATGTGCTACGCNAGCTCAAGATAGGCTTTGTCAATCCACGATACGGCATCAGCGTAACACCAGCTTTTTTAAAAGCAAATTAAACGGTGTCGTTTAATCCTGGTCTGTAGGTCAGAAACATAATTGCTGCAGACAATTGAAAGTATCCCTTCAATATTAACTTGAGATATCTCGGTGGGTAAACTGCGCATGGTTGGCTGCGTGGCGTGTGACTCGAATCCTTCTTGATTTTTCTATTACTCTCTTGGGCAACCTGGCAGTGTCTCGATCCCTATGCTCCCTTCCACTTATACGACGGGTACGCGCCCGGTGAGGGGTGGCACAGCTAAACGGTTCTGTTGATGTTTAACCCTCAATGCATCCGAAGGTCGTATCAGAGTAGAACATTGTTTCCGTTTTTGGAGGATAAACTGCTAGCTGACCGAACTAATGAGGTGCCTGTGGCATTATGATTGGCGACTACTCGTCTGAACTTTACTCACATGTATTCTCTTCTCATTTGACTTACTCTGTTACCATAACTGATCATACTTCTTATCTGATCCACTTATACCAGGAGTGGTGTTTCAGTACGGAATCCTTCAAAGGAAATCGCCTGGTGGCGGAGACTGCTGTTAGGCTTGACCTTGATTATTGTAGCTGAGTACCAGCATGTGGTACTCAGTTTTTGACCCACATATCTTGTACTAAGTTCAGGGATTCTATCAAAAAACGCCGCCCCACTTGCGGGCCAGGATTCATCTTGGATCTAGCTAGGTGTGTAAAATTCCCAACACAATTGAAGTTCTGCTTGTAGCTGAGTACCAGCATGTGGTACTCACTGTTTTTGACCCACATATCTAGTACTAAGTTCAGGGATTCTATCACAAAACGCCGCCCCACGTGCGGGCCAGGCCTCATCTTGGATCTAGCCAGGTGTGTAAAATTCCCAACACACTTGAAGTTCTGTAATTAAGTAGCTGTCTATTTTCACCACTTGCATTAATTTTGTTGTATATCATAGACCCCTTCTATGCAGAAGAAGAGTTGGAAGACTTCGAGGAAGATGATGGTGGGCATGGAATCTATGGCGATGAGCGTGATGCAGAGGACGATGAGATTACTCCTGACATGTGGCAAGAGGCTTGTTGGATTGTGATTAGCAGCTATTTCGACGAGAAGGGCCTCGTTCGACAACAACTAGACTCCTTCGACGAATTCATTCAGACATCAATTCAGAAGATAGTTGAGGATTCACCTATCATCGAATTACAAGCCGAAGCACAACACACAAGTGGCGTATTGGAAACACCTGTAAGTTTTAAAGCTAATATTGCTGATTCTGTTTTATTCAGGTTCAGTATCGGCTGAAATTTGAGCAGATCTATCTCAGTAAAGCAACTCACTGGGAAAAGGATGGATCCTCTGTTCCCATGACGCCAAATGATGCTCGCTTGCGCAATTTGACCTACGCGGCACCTCTTTACGTAGATGTGATGAAAAAAATCATTCGGGATGATGGCGAAGAGGAAAAACCACTTGAAAAGAAATTCATTGGAAAAATTCCCATCATGTTAAGGTGGGTATTTTCAGCTTAGTCCATTGAACCCAATCCGTAGATCTACATACTGCTTGCTTTCCATCATGAGTGATCGAGACTTAGCTGAACTGAATGAATGTCCCCTTGATCCAGGAGGATATTTCATTATTAATGGCTCGGAAAAAGTATTGATTGCACAAGAAAAGATGGCGACAAACACCGGTTAGTTCCAGTCCCTTTTTTACCACATTCAACAATTTACAGTTTACGTATTTCGACAGAAGGACAGCAAGTATGCCTACAAAACTGAAATCCGTTCGGTGCTAGAGCACAGCTCTCGACCAGCCAGCACATTGTGGATAAATATGATGGCTCGTGGTGGCAAAGATGGAAGCAAGCGAGCGACGATAGGACAGCGTATTGTCGCTATTCTCCCTTATATCAAACAAGAAATTCCTGTACTCATCGTTTTCCGTGCTCTTGGATTTGTTGCTGACCGAGATATCCTCGAACATATTATCTATGACTTTGATGACACGGAAATGCGCGAAATGATCAAGCCTTCTTTGGATGATGCATTTGTGATTCAGGTTAGTTAATGTGATCCACTTTTTAACTTGCTTTTCTCTCAGGAACAAAAGGTTGCACTGAATTTCATTGGTTCAAGAGGTGCGCGTCCCGGTGTGACAAAGGAGAAGCGTATCAAATACGCCAAGGAGATTTTACAGAAAGAAACACTTCCTCATGTTGGTGTTTCAGATTTTTGTGAAACGCGCAAAGCCTACTTCCTTGGTTACATGGTGCATCGCCTACTTTTAGCTGCTCTGAAACGGCGGGATGTTGATGACAGAGATCACTACGGGAACAAGCGGTTGGACCTAGCAGGGCCTTTGTTAGCCTTCCTGTTTCGTGGCTTATTCAGAAATCTAACGAAAGAGATTCGATTGTATGCTCAGAAATTTATTGACAAGGGAAAAGACTTCAACCTGGAATTGGCAATTCGTAGTCAGATCATCACCGATGGGCTTAAGTATTCTCTGGCTACTGGTAACTGGGGTGATCAGAAGAAGGCTAATCAGGCCCGACCAGGCGTGTCTCAGGTTAGTATCCATATTTGCCCCGAAGGTTGTTACTGCTCTGTAGGTGCTCAATCGATTGACTTTCGCATCCACCTTATCACATCTTCGTCGGCTGAACTCCCCCATCGGTCGCGATGGCAAGCTTGCCAGACCACGTCAGTTGCACAACACCTTGTGGGGTATGATTTGTCCCGCTGAAACCCCCGAGGGAAGTGCTGTAGGCCTGGTGAAAAATCTGGCTTTGATGGCTTACATATCTGTGGGTAGCCAACCTTCACCAATCCTTGAATTCTTGGAAGAGTGGAGTATGGAAAATTTGGAAGAAATCGCTCCTTCCGCAATTGGAAAGTAAGCCTTGTCTTTGTTAAATTTTGATTGTTTTTTGCAGAACTTGTAAAATTTTCGTCAACGGTTGTTGGGTTGGAATTCACAACTCCCCTGACCACTTGATGGTTACTCTGCGTAAATTGCGTCGCCAAGTGGATGTGATTGTGAGTGAAGTAAGCATGGTACGTGACTACCGAGATCAAGAAATCCGAATTTATACCGATGCTGGTCGCATTTGTCGCCCGTTGGTTATCGTGGAGAAAGGAAAGCTGCTCTTGAAACGCAGCCACATCGAGTTCCTAAAGGACAAGGCCTACAATCGTTATAGGTCAGTTATTGAGGCTTTCTGTACATAAATAAACTTCCAAGGTCTGTTGGTTCGATTGGGGTTTTCCTTGGTTATGAGGACAAATATATCTGTAGAATTTTTATGGCCGTGTTTCTCTCATTCAGATATGGGACTTTCGGTTGTTTTTTCTCAGTCTGTCGGAAAATCTTGTCTTTGGACTTGCCTGTTGGATTGCAGCAATACTAGAGAAGCACATAGACTACAGTACCTTGATCATGTGTTACCTATGTCGATTGAGTGGCATAGGTAGCCGAGCGGATACGATTTCAGATTGCCATTTCTTTTACCTTCTTTCGATTCCTGTTTACCCGCTGGCCTTCAACCTGATAATCCGTACACTTTGTTCCATAAATCTTTTGAAAGGATAGCGTCAGGCAATCAGAGTGATGGATACTGAGATGAAACGTAATTCAGCCTGCCCCTAAAGAACAAAGATGATAAGGAAAAACTTCCTTTCCATTGACCCCGCTTTTGTTGGGGTTACAAATCATCAGTAACACTGTTGCACTCAAGTTTCCAGTATATGATAGTCTGACAGAATGTTCATGAGTGTAAACTCCCTGCAATGATTGTGGTGCGGTAACGCCAGGTTAACTTGTTCTGTTTTGTTATTTCACTTGCGCTACTTGCAAACTATCACTTATTTTTATTTAGTGCTAAAATGCCGATGTCATTATCGCTTCACTCGCCCATTAGAGTTACCTTCCCACATCTTCTTTAACAGCTGGCAAGATTTGGTTTTGAGTGGAGTGGTGGAATACATAGACACTCTGGAGGAAGAAACTGTGATGATTGCTATGGGTCCTGCTGAAATGCAAGCTGCANGCTGGCTGAAATGCAAGCTGCAGTGCACTACTGTAAAACGCATACCCATTGTGAGATTCATCCCAGCATGATTCTTGGCATTTGTGCGAGCATCATTCCGTTCCCTGATCATAACCAGTCACCAAGAAATACCTATCAAAGTGCTATGGGTAAACAAGCCATGGGTGTGTACATCAGCAATTTCCACACACGGATGGATACGTTGGCGAACGTTCTCTACTATCCACAAAAACCGCTGGTTGCTACTCGATCGATGGAATACCTGCGCTTCCGTGAGCTCCCCGCTGGTAGGTAATCCATTCGTTTCATTTCGAAAAAAAGTGTTAGCCAATGTCACCATCACAATGACCTTGTTTTTAGAACTTTTCCAGGTCAGCAGGTCAGGGGATTCACCACTAGAATGCTATTCACTGTAATGGAAGACGTTCGTCTACACAAATCACTTACCCCTCATGAGAATGTCCAGACCTGGCTCTCCGTTCCTCGCCGGTATAATCGCATAGTCTAAACCTTTTACACGCGCTTTTATCCTCATCGTTATCGTCATCACCTGCTTTCCCAACTCCCCTTTTATGGCTCTTCATTTGCAGAATGTCCAGACCTGGCTCTCCGTTCCTCACCAGTATAATCGCATAGTCTAAACCTTTTACATGCGCTTTCATCCTCATCGTTATCGTCATAACCTGCTTTCCCAACTTCCCTTCTTTCATGGCTCTTCATTTGAATACATGGGGTCGCCTTTCGTTTTCCTCTTATGTTGGCAGTGGTTCATTTGCGTGCCCTGTTCATGTGTTTTTCCTAAGTGAATTATTTATCGATTCTTAATACAGGTATTAATGCGATCGTAGCGATCGCAACATACACGGGTTATAATCAAGAGGATTCTGTCATCCTAAACGAAAGTGCTATACAACGGGGCTTTTTCCGGTCGGAGTTCTACCGAACTTACAAGGATCAGGAGGCTCGCCATGGAATGGATCAGGAGGAAGTGTTTGAAAAGCCGAACCCGCAGCAATGTCAAGGTATGCGTCATGCCATCTACGACAAGCTGGATGATGATGGTTTGATTGCTCCTGGTACCCGTGTTTCTGGTGATGATGTCCTCATTGGGAAGACAATAACCTTACCGGAGAATGAGGATGAGGTAAGAGCCACAGTTGTTGTACAGGTACACAACCTCGACTTATCCGTACTTCAAGTCATGGTCCTTTCTGGCACTTCACTTGGGTCCTCCAGCTGCTATGCACTGGGAGACCTCTCCCCATCAAACGACTTGGTTCGATTCTTTCAGCAGCAATCACTTATGGTAACCAAGCAGTGTACTCGTTCCAGGGCGAGCTTCCTGGACCGATGCATTTTGGTTTTAACCCTGAGCTATCAAAACTCTTTGTAACCTTGAAGGACATATTTTAGATGAGCATGTTTACATCTTGTTTTACTTCTGAGGGTGGTTGACATGGAGTAGTCACCCGCTTCTGAGGGTGGTTGACATGGAGTTAGTCACCCGTTGCTCGTTTATTGAATAGTCCATCGTATCAAGCTTCCCGTTAGTTTGTCCCCCAGGGGTGGGCAAAGTTTTTTCACCGCATATGATTTAGTCGTTCACCTGGATACCTTGATGACTGCTGGAGTATCTAGAATTGTCACGAGTCAATAGCAGCTGAAGCTGAAACTAATGTTGAAAGAACCCATCGTGAATGGGGAGATCGTAATCCTGACAGCAATCTCACCTTACTTTTCTTTCCTGTTAAGCGTCATACCTTGCGTTCCACACTATTACTGAGTGGTCCTTTCACTTCCCACCGTAAAGCTCATTCCCTTGCTTAATACGTCCACAGATGGAAGGTGGACAACGGCGATACACCAAGCGAGATGCCAGCGTATTCATGCGGCGAAGTGAGTACGGTATTGTGGATCAAGTCATGATCACATGGAACAACGAGGGGAACAAATTTTGTAAGGTTCGTGTGCGCACAACCAAAACTCCGCAAGTGGGTGACAAGTTCGCCAGTCGGCATGGACAAAAGGGTACTTGTGGTATTCGGTACCGACAAGAAGATATGCCGTTCACTTGTGAAGGCATTACTCCAGATATCATCATCAATCCCCACGCTATCCCCAGTCGTATGACTATCGGTCACTTAATTGAATGCTTACAGGTTAGTCTGTGAACAAACTGCAATTGTTTTGTCTTCCTGTAATCAGGAACCGATTCTTTGTGTGTACCAGGCATTCGACTTCTTCGAATTTGCTCATTGTCCTCCCAATCGGGGATTATCATTTGTATGGATGGGGGCCTATTGTACAACTAGAGACACTGGTGCTCTTTTGAAATGAAGGAATGTACAAACGATCGATTGATTCCACTCATCATCCTAGATCTAGCTGTCCGAAACTCTTTTGATAACAGTGCGTTTCCAATAGCCTCTACAGTTTTCAATACGAGACTTGTCAATTCCACATGTGGTACCACGTTGCTGCAGGAACATAGTCTAGCTATCGGTACAGATTCGAGCGCATTGGTAACTCCCCTTATGGTTTATTCCCTTCGACTTCATACCACACGGAAGGTTCGTATCTCCATTATACGGCGTCCTCCCCTTACGTAATTGTGATCTTTATGTCAGAGTTGTTTGCTGTTTTTCATTAGGACCCATTACCATCGGGTCCCTGATTCACTGGTCAGCCGGACCTTGGTCACTTTCCGAGTTGGATTTCTTTGCATCTTGGTGTTTCTAATCTCGATGAAACTTGTGGGCAGCGCTGTGTGTACTTTGGTAGTGGTCCTCCCATCCATCTACAAGTGTTCAATAGTAGAAAGGCTCTTACTTACATACTAAGTGCACTTACCGTCAGTATTCAGCTTCTGCTGTATTATTAATATCATAGGAGGTCAGACAGGTTGCTCTTATCTTTTCATGGATATTCGCGAGCGGCTATTTTTTCTACTATTTTGTATAAACTCTTGTTTTATCGGTCCGTTATAGTTGGGTCGCGAGTGTGTTTGGAGGTTACCTTTTCCCGTTGCATGTGATTGTCGGTCGTTTCAAGCTTGTACTTTTTTCTCCTCGATATACGCTACCTTCACCTAAATTTGTTTCCCTGACCCCACCTCTCCCAGGGAAAAGTTAGTGCGAACAAAGGCGAAATCGGTGATGCGACACCGTTTAATGATGCCGTGAATGTGAGGAAGATCTCTTTGCTGCTTCAAGAATACGGCTATCAGCATACTGGCAATGAGATCATGTACAACGGATTCACTGGCCGGAAGCTGAATTCTCAAATTTTTCTCGGGCCCACCTATTATCAACGCCTGAAGCATATGGTCGATGACAAAATCCACAGTCGAGCACGTGGTCCGGTTCAAATACTCAACAGACAACCCATGGAGGGCCGTAGTCGGGATGGTGGTCTCCGTTTCGGCGAAATGGAACGGGATTGCCAAATCGCCCATGGAGCAGCGCAATTTTTGCGCGAGCGCTTGTTTTTCGCCAGTGATCCCTATCAGGTTTACGTGTGCAATTTGTGTGGGTTGATTGCTATTGCGCACCAACGGAATAAAACCTACGAATGTCGAAGCTGCAAAAATACAACTCAGGTATATCAAGAATGACTAGCCTAGTGTTTGTGTTTCCCGTATTTTTACATTTCGGGTATTCCGCGCATAGGAAAGTTTACCAGTTATGTTTCGATACCAGCACCTCACCTTTTCTTCACCGTATTCGGTGTGTTCGGTGCGCTATCCGTCAAACTCATTTCGCACCTATACTTTATCTAGGCTTTTGCTACTCGAGGTTACGCGGTGGTTCATGCTGTCTGTTGTTGAATTGTTCATGTTGATTAAAGTTACTGAACTGAAAGGGTAAATGACTACTCAGTGTACAATGAGTTCGTCCTTAAAAACGGCCTTGAGCTTTCCCATTATTTGTTTCGTGTAAAATAGATTATGGTGAAATTAACACAGAGTGCTCGGGCAGTGCGTCTAGCAAAACGGTGTCTAGTCACGTCGTCTCTGAGCGTCGTTGCATGATGGTTACTTCGAGGACTTTGTATATATCTTTGACTCTGCTGGTTGCACGTGGTTTCACGAACGTATTGTATACCCTGCCCGGTTTATTACGGTGACCATCGAAAATAAACTGTGTTGAATATTCAGCGTACTCCAACACGTTCGAGTGATGGGTAGATTTCCTGCTTCCATGGTCGCCGAGTTCGCAATTCTGTGCCCCTTCTATCGGCTGGGGCTAGTGCACTCGGCCAAATCCACTGTACAGTCAAATTAGTTGTCTATTCCTTGAGTGCATCGGTGGGCAATCTGCAAGCTGTACAACATTTTTGCGTGCTTTCCTACTGCAGTCTGCAGTTATACTCATATAGGTTGCACACGTTTAAGACCAGTTTTGCTAATTGTCGTTACTGTTACTCTTGGTTCGTTTACACGCTTCCTTCGTTAACTGAAACGTTCCAAGACGGTATACTCGACTGTACGTCGAACGTCTCGAAAGTGCTGATCTCGCGATTACATGCGAGATCTTGATTACTGCAAACAGTGAAACAGTCCGTCGTATTCGATGCTGAACACACGTTTCCCAATGAAAGGATAACTACTGAGGTGTGGTTATGTATATCCTGTCTGCTTTATCAGGAAAAGTCTGTTTCCATTTACCCTCTACTATGAAGCTCTAGAAAGTACTCGGTCCATTTCTTTTCTTTTCTCATGGAATGCGAGATGTACCAGAACCTGTCGGAATTCACTCTGATAGCACTGGAATATATTCCTTTGCCGGACTTGTTTGTCTTGGATGTCTTCCAAATTTTGCACAGATATGCGGATAGCTTTCTAAAGGTGATTTGTTTTTTCCACGGAAACTGATTTCTTGATTCCGGTGCACCGATGTATGCACTGTCCCGTTTACTGCAATATACGTCAAAAATAATCAGCGTTCAACGTCGGCCATCTAATCACTGACTGCTCCATGTCCCACTTTCTACTCAACCCCTCCTTTTGGTTGCGGGTATCGCACTTGTCCCAATTCACTGTACAGTCATTTATACCCCAAACACAACAGTGGTCAAGTTGCACAATATTTCCGTACACCTTGTCGTTGCGGCACGAGTGTCGCAGCTATATTGATGGTGGCCCTATCTAGGTTCAGTTTTGTGCTGCCTGTCCATACTGTTACAGTCTCCATTGTTCTAGAGGCCAAGACAAGTTCCTCGTCCATATTACCTGTTGTCGTGACACCAGGTATTGGGTTGGGGTGACATCACTGTTGCGGTGAGATAAGTGCTCTATCTTTAAGAGCTGAAGGGCGCTCTTCACGCCGCTCAACACGTCGAATCTCACCACATTCGTGGCTTTAAAAATCACTCATGTCCTTTTGTTCCAAATATGTGAATAGATTTATTCTCCTTTTTTGCATGTAATATGGGATAGCTTCTGTTAAACATTGTCAGTATTTATTGACGTTCCCAATACACATGAGTAACAAATGGACGAACACACGAATCAATACCAGAGTCGTGGATACTCCGCAATTGCTGGACATGTGGCGTGTTTTTTTAGCCCGAATCAATTTGGTCGTGAATTCAGCAGAAAGTTCCCTTGAGTGACATCTTAAAATTTATGTGCCCTAGGTTGAGCCGAAACAGAAAAAGACAAGTGGCTAGCCATATTGGCGTTTCGCGCACCATAATCTAGAGGAGCCTGGAAACCACTATAGGCTTAAGATTGCGCCGGAAGATACGATTTAGGTTATTCTGGTGAGTCCACACCAAACTGGCGAAGCACTGAACTCGAGTTTCGCTCTTATTAGATCTCATCAGCAGTGCATATCCTTGGCCGTGCCGGGGTTTGAACTCCAGACATGTGACATACCAGGCGAGCGTGTTACCACTACCCCACCAGCGCAGGCTGACACATTTCAATTCTCACGTCTGAACAGGCGAACGTGCACTGCTGATGAGCTCTGATAAGGGCGAAACTCGAGTCCAGTTCTTCCTTCCTCTTGGGGTGAGCTCACCAGAGTAATTACGCCAGAACAGGAGGACGAGTGTCCAGACGAGAGTGCTGTGAATATGAACACTACAAATCCAATGAACACCCACAGCAGGATTTACATTATGTCGCTCAAGATTTCACCTGACATACATGACCGTTCACAGGGAAATTGCGCGAATTATGGTTACTCAAGATCAAAGCAGATTTATTATACACATTTCGCCGGTGAGTGCTCTGTTGGTAGGTCGTTGTCCGGCTATTGGGATTCATATCAACGCTCGAACAAACATAGTTTAATGGAGATTTCGTCCTGTAAGTGAAGCCAGTCTATGCTGAAAAGTCTATAGGTAGTGTACGGCTGTTTCATCCTTGTTGGAAATATTTAGCAGTTTGCATCACTATCCTAGATCCTCCTAAAACACTTCTTGTGGACATCTGTTTACGGAATCCGTAACAAGAAGGGGTGCTTCATTTGCATGATGTATGACGTTCATCTTTACACGTTAAGAGAGAATGTCGCACAACATTCTGCCATGAGAAACGCATGTGTGTAAGCCAACTAGCCGTCAGTTCTTCTAAATGTCGCACAACATTCTGCCATGAGAAACACATGTGTGTAAGCCTTTTGGATGACTCCACACTCCTTCAAGGTGTTTGGTTGTGGCCGTTGAAGTTTTCTTGACGTATTGCTGCAGGTACATCGCTTTAAACATCTTGAAATAAATAGTCCATGGGACTTGGTTTTGGTCAAGCCAAGGGCCCTGTCCTCCTGATCCAGCGATCTCCGAATGTCTCTTCGATGTGTGTGCTTCAGGCCAGGTGTGATGGAGCACCATTCTCTAGAAACCAAACCGCTTTGATTGAAAATGTTTCTACGAACTGTGGAATTACATGCTGATGTGGTAGGCGCCTGTGTGTTGAGACCTCTGGAAAAACCGTTTAGACACTAACAACACAGCCTACCAGTCAGGTTTTCTAGAAATAGAAGGATTCATTACTTTTGATGCTGCATTACCTACACAACTGATCAACTTAGCTTTAGCTGAGGAAGTGTAGCGACGTGACTTGCATCTAGCACGAAAACCAGTTGTGCAAATTTTGTATTTTTGTATTCTGAAAGCTGGCACAGAAAATCGGCCGACTTCAGTTTGTCCCATTTCAATTGATATAAATTGGCAAACCTTCAAATTCAGTAAGCCAGTAGCCAGAGTTGGCGAACAGATCAACCACCAGTGTTGAATATTCCGACGATCACTAGTTTTTCACTCGATGTAGAGAGTCGGACAGCTCAGTGTTGGCTGCTTACGGGTATCCAGTCGAGCAATGAAGCCTCGGTTCGCGAAATTAGGGCTATACTAACATCGGCACAGCCCGCTACAGCAGCTTCGAAATCACTTTAACTTCGTAGCTGTAGAGTCTGGATAGAGAGGTTGTCGTAACCTCAACAACGGTACTTAGGTCTCATATTCGAGTTTTGACCACCGAAACATAGCAAGAGCTAGCATATTTCCGGTATGCTGAACTGAACGGAGAAGCTAGGCCTGTGACCTTGGTGTTCAGAGTTGCACTTGTGCAGGGCAAACCTAGGAACATGCCCGAAAGCCGGAATGACAGGCCTCACGCATGGTCTTATATGGGAGTACTTTTTCGCCTCAGAGATGTGTTCGAATATTTTTTATGTTTTTCCATTCTAATCCGCCATCAAGCCGTTGTGTCCGTACCTTTCTCTCTTCCAGATATCCCTGGTGAAACTGCCATATGCATGCAAACTGCTCTTCCAAGAGCTCATGTCGATGTCCATTGCGCCACGCATGATGGTTACAGGGACCACCTCACACTGATTCACATTTTTAGCCCGTTGTTCATCTTCTTCGAGGACTCTGTATATATCTTTGACTCCGCTGGTTGCACGTGGTTTCACGAACGTATTGTATACCCTGCCCGGTTTATTACGGTGACCATCGAAAATAAACTGTGTTGAATATTCAGCGTACTCCAACACGTGATGGGTAGTGATGGGTAGATTTCCTGCTTCCATGGTCGCCGAGTTCGCAATTCTGTGCCCCTTTTATCGGCTGGGGCTAGTGCACTCGGCCAAATCCACTGTACAGTCAAATTAGTTGTCTATTCCTTGAGTGCATCGGTGGGCAATCTGCAAGCTGTACAACATTTTTGCGTGCTTTCCTACTGCAGTCTGCAGTTATACTCATATAGGTTGCACACGTTTAAGACCAGTTTTGCTAATTGTCGTTACTGTTACTCTTGGTTCGTTTACACGCTTCCTTCGTTAACTGAAACGTTCCAAGACGGTATACTCGACTGTACGTCGAACGTCTCGAAAGTGCTGATCTCGCGATTACATGCGAGATCTTGATTACTGCAAACAGTGAAACAGTCCGTCGTGTTCGATGCTGAACACACGTTTCCCAATGAAAGGATAACTACTGAGGTGTGGTTGTGTGTATCCTGTCTGCGTTATCAGGAAAAGCCTATTTTCATTTATCGACTTCTTTGAAGCAGTCTCCAAGGCGATTATTTATTTGCATATTTAATCGAATGAAGCATACGAATTCAGCCAACTGGTTGTGGGTTGCGCTTGTCATGTTTTGGCCCACGTGCTATACGACCACGTCTGCAAAATCATTGTCTTCTCTTTTGCTTACTGTCGGCTACTGGAAAAACGGGTGGGTCCTACTCACCTTATCGGTTATGCGCCGCACTCAGTGTTCCGCTGAGCCTAACTGCTTTAACGTATACCAAAATATTTGAGGCCGTACAGTTGGCGGACTGGACCGCGATGGCTGCTTTGCGCCTGTTCTCGGGCGCTGAATCGATCATAGATGTGATCCCAGCCCAACACAAATGAGGCGCTGGTGCGTTCTCGCACTCAAACACTCAGGCCCGAGCAACTAATCTTCAGCTATCCTCATTCTGGGTTCCTGATCTGATGCACCGCACAACGGATGTCTTGCCCAAATGAGATGTTTATTATTCGAGGCCCAACGTCCACTGACCGGAACATGGAATCAACGCTTATCATGTCTCAGTACCTAATAGACAGCAGGGTGGGAATTTCATTGGGGGCGAGATGGCTCAGTGGTTAGAGCGCTAATTTGTTGACCGGAAGGTCCGTGGTTCGAATCCGACCTCTGCCTCTCAACTTCCCCTGTCTAGGCTTAGGCAACCAGTATCCCAGCCCTCGTGCTTCCTTCGGGTGGCATGGCAGTTAGGCACCGAAAGGGTACTACAGCTGGACTATTTTGGAATATCATTGGAAGTCTATTTTATGGGGTTTGGATAGCTCAACATTGTAACCTGTTTAATCACCCGTGTTGTATATGACTGCTAACCCTGATCCAGAGCCTAGTGCCGATAAAAAAAGGCTCACAGTAAGGAACTATATACATTCCGAACAGGCGAGTGCGAAAATACAACGACCTCAAGCTGTTTTTTGGATGAACACTATCTGGCCTTGGTCCAATGCCATCTAGCTCTATCTGGCTTCGACACAAGACTGTCACGCGCTGCATATTGCGGGGGCGTTGTCTCATCTTGACCAACGCTGACTCGCGCTATCTGGGTTCGATACTAAGCTGTCACGCCCACTGAGGGGACGTCGTCTGTCTGGTCTAGCGGAGTTGAGAGTCTCAGAAGACTTCGAGTATTCAGTGGTTGCTTTCACGAATCTGACCCTCCCGATAACCCGCTTGATAATTCTTAACAGGAAGGGACCAGCTCATACCTCACAGACGTTCTTAATCTGATCACACCGTTAGAATAAAGGTATGGGGCTATTTGCGGGTTCACAACCTTGTTGCAGAACTTCCTGAATATTATTTTGAATACTGTCCCTCGCAGAACTGAGTGCTGTGCTCTGGGCGCATCTCAAACTTATGCTTTTCAGCCAATGACCTCCAATTTGGAGGCAGGAATATGATGTAAGGTTGATCAGTAGTGACATCGTCGATGGTAGTGTGAAGAGACATGGTCATTTTCAACCAAGATTTCATCCAATGATTGGTTAGTTTGGTTCCAGTTACCGGACGAAATCTTGGTGTTAGTAAATGCCAACATCGCTACTCAACTCAGCTGCTGCCATCGAACCAAAGGAAATACGAAAACAAACCTGCTCATCGAGAAAGTACCTCAATTTTTACACTTTTAAAGGCTACGCTGCTGGTTAAACGATACAAACTAGACAGCTGATTAAACTAAGGGTCTATCACAAAATCCCAGTTGAATAACCTAGAGACGCTACTGTTCATGCTTGTTGGTTTGTGTAGGTAGGCACACATGTTTCGATTGGTGTGCACCAGGGTAGACACGGTGTGTGTGCGACAACCCCCCACCGCAAATTCTTGAGGGCACTGTAATTCTCCCGTGGCCAACGTGACGAAATAATGGGTACTATTTTGAAATACTCGAGGTTAGCATTTGCCAGCCAAATGAAACCAACTGAAACGCCACGCAAGACAAATGTGTACTTTGATCCCCATATTCCGTTTTGTGGAGGAGATCAAGTATACCCCCATGAATTTAGATCAAAGTTTTCTCTTTACTTATAAAGAATGTAGACCAGCCTTTTGATAATTTATTTTATTCCTGGTGGCGATAGCCATAATACAAATCAGGTGAATGTGCACTAATAGAAGTTTTTAACATGGTTGCGACACGTATAAAAATAAATACAGTGAGAGAATGGGAGCAAGTCAAAAAGGGAACTTATCGTGTATGAGAGTCCCTTGGTGGAAGTCCGGACGGCGGGAACGTGTTTTTCTCCGCAGTTCGACTGCTACACGTACTCCATGGTTGTCCGTGGACTTGTGGAGAGGTTGACGTCCTGCTCCCTGTGCGCGCCCGAGTCTGTGTCCTGACTGGGTTCGGTTTGCCTCTATGTAGGTCCCAGTGCGTGTATGTGGGCGCGTCGGCACATGAGTGGTTGCTACGCTGACTAGGCGGTGCAGACAATTGATGTCCGATGTGTCAGCTTAATGCGACGTGTTTGTGCGTATGAGAAAAAGACAAGCCTCGCAATCCAGTGAGCGACTATGAGTTGAACAGTCAAGTATGTGGGTGACTGGGTCGCTGCACTCATCAGAATAGATCCACAAGTATTTTGAAACATGTGAGTGTCGTTCGGGGTTTGACGGTAAATATCCTAATTTTCCACCCCAAGAAAGAGCCCGGATGTTTAGGAAAAAAGCGAGTAGCATTGTGAGGTCTTCGCGCACTGTTTCGTTGTCGTGGTGACAAGGCGGCAATCAGCTCCCCCACTGAGTCCATCAGTGGTGGGCATATCATGCGTGGAATTCATGCGTCATGTGAGTACAAACAGAGCACTGAACAATCAACCCATGAGCATTTCTGCCTTATTAAACGGAGCTGGAGAGAATGTGCTGCCAACAGCGGCAACGTACTAAGCTTGAACACATTCTGCCCAATTAATCAAACCGCTTATGTCTGATCTTTTGTTAGCACGCCAAGAAATATCTATCGGTGACGGGTAACCTTCTAACATAGAGCGGAGGAAGCTGAAAAAATCGACGGCTACACTAGTGGAACAGCGGCCTAAAATCGACACAAGAATTACAGGCGAATCTCTTACTATCGCAGCTCGTTCTGTTATGTCAAATATGAACTAGCAGGCATACGCAACCTCGACGAAACTGGCTAACATTGTGCCCACAGCTCACAAATGATCTTGGGCGGATAAGTGAGTCCTACACAGGCGTGAAGCAGTCAAAAAAGCCGCTGCACTCATGTGTCATCCGCAAGCTGTTACTCTCCTTGTCTGTAGGTAGACGAGAGGTAAAGCTGTTTCTGCATGTAAGACAAGCAGATTGCAATTCAACAAAACATGGTCTGTATGAGCTCATCATCAGTGTTCCTAAGTTCACACAAGTCTTCCTGCTTACAGTGGTAAGACGCAGAAATTATTCATTTTGTTAAAAAATGAACTATCGGATACAACTCCCTTAACATTGATCACTTGGTGGAGGGTAGCCTCAAATTAAACTACATCTTCAAACAGGTAAGCGAGATAGGTTGTTACATATCCCCGACAATTGGTTCAGTTATTTTGTGCCTTTGTTTAGAACCAAAAGGTTTAGAAAAAAGCTTTTAAACAGTACGTATTTACCCTGCTAGAGAACCATCCAAGTTCCGTGGAACTCCGAAAGGTGAACAAAAACGACGAGGAGGATGCCGAGGTGGAAAATGACCTGCGTTCTGGGTTTGGTCGGACGAAAAAAGACTTCAGCCGCACGGAAGTTGGTAACTTTATTGGGACTCGTCGTATGGATATAAAGGGATTGAATAGAATGTATGGAGCGGAGGTTACAGCGTGAAAAGGTCAAGCAAAAGTCACGTGTCCGGTTCCTCTACGCTTACTTGACGAGTCTCAATAAACATGGAAGGACTCGCGAGGCTGAAGTTTTCCTTCAATCGGCCTTAAATGTCCGTTGAAATTTCGAGTCCAATACTTGGCAAATATCAGGCACCGCGCGTGGATCGACGGTCGATCAGACGAAACTTTCAGATTGTTTAGCAGATGTCACAGGGTTGTTCGTTGGTCAAACCGAGAAATCACAGTGGGACTTTTATCAAGTCCATGCCGAAGTCGGGCTATGCCCAAAAACCGAGTGGCACCATACTCTAATGTTAATCCAGGATACCGCCGGCACACTTCGGTTCTGCAGCTGATCGTGAAGATTAAGTGAGTGGCGAAGTTATTTTGAAAATGCTGTTTCAGAATAGGCTATTCTCTGTATCAGCTGTGAACCAGCGTGTACTGAATTCCAGAACTAATTTCTAACTTTGATACCGCGTACCTCCGTTCTGCAGCCACAAATACACCTCTCAATAAAAAGGTCGGTAGTGCCCTTCCAAGCGTCACTCTCGGTGAAATCTTCGAGCATCATTTACTCACCGCACCCTTCCAACAAGCCCCTATTGGCTTTCATTAGGGAGTTGCGGCGGAATATGGGTGGATTTATCACGACAAGTTCCCGTGTTTACCAATTTGGGATAGATACTCACACACTCAAAATCTGTAGGGTACAC